ATAAATTAATAAACTCCTACCCCCAACATCTTCTAAAAAAAAAAAAAAAAAAAAAAAAAAAAAAAAAAACCCTCACAATCACCGCGGCCTAGACGGAAGGCAGCTGTGAAGCCAGCACATCCCTCTGAAATCTACAATCGCCCTCGGCCTAGAGAAACTTCGGGGTGCCTGGGGGGCCAAGGAAGATGGCGACATGGCCTCTGGGACATTTAAGGCACCTTCTGTCCTGCAGTACCTTCGGACTCCCCCTCGCTGAAAGAGAGCGGTCGGTGGAGAATCTAAACCTAAGAAGCAAGCAGAGGAGAGTGGGATCCCTTCCCAGTCGTAAAGTAAAGAAGGAGGAAGTTGGGAGGCTGGGAGGAGGGAAAGGACCGAGGCTCAGAGGACAGGTATGGGGGGAGAGAGGAGTCTGAAGAGTGGAGGGATTTGAAAGGCTGACGTTCCTCAAGGTGCACGGTCTTACTCACGGGTCGGCCTATCTCGGACCGCGGATACGGGAGAGAACGGCTGGACCACGGCGCCTCCAGCCTTACAAGTAAAAGGTCCCCAAAGCTGGGCCTGCGACCAAGCAAACACAAAGGCCAGCGGGACGGAACGAGGACGTCGGCCAATACCACCCTGTTTCCAGCCCATCTCATTGAACTCTCGCGGGAGCGCTCCCGATGACGTTATGGGCGTGGCTAGATGCTCGCCTCTCTCCACAACCGTTTCCGGTTTCTACTGGTTCACTTCCGGGTCTCCGCGGCTGTGGGAGGTTAGGGCGCGAATTTCTCTGAGCGCGGCACCTGGAAGGATTCAAGAAGCGTCTTTGGTGAGTAGTGAAAGCGCTTTCCTTGACGGTGGCTCCAGTTTGGGGATGAATTTTGTGTCCGGCGCGTTGGTGGCAAACTCGGCGACTCGTGTTTGAGGAGCTTGAGGTGGTTTTCAAAGAGCAGGGAGATCCGAACAGGTGTGCCCTTCGGAGCCAGTGTTTGAAAAAGTGGTATTTGATTCGCAAGGAGGGAGTGAAGCCACTCATGGTTCCTCCCTCCTTTCCCCGAATCATTGTAATCCTTGTTCTCCCTCCTTAATCTCTCCCGCAGTCAGTCGTGGGGCGAAGTGCAGCCTTAGTGATGAGTGCCTTTGAGCCTTAAGGAAGCTGCGTCGGCAGCGTTCGCTACCCCGAGGCCTCATTTGTCAAGAGGTAAACATTGTGTATTTGCAGTTTTGCCAGACGTTGTGCCCATACAGAGGTCTAGCTTGGTGGCTTCCACGAGTTTCAGCACGCTGGCAAATAAAACAAGACAACCTAGAATACTTCCCTGTTTCCTACAGCGTAAAGAATACATTCTTTACTGCAGTATATAGTATGGCTGCAAGCTACAGTTCCAGTCTTTTTTTCTGTCCATTCCTCCCGTACACGTCAAAGCCTCTCTGAATTTTTTCTGTCCCTGAACAGACCAGTTTCTTTTGAGGTGTCCTGCCAACGGGCTTTTTTTCTCTCAAATGCTTTACTCCCCTTCCTTCTGGCTAAATATTTCAAAATGTAATTCAAATATTACTTTTTTCTCTGAATTCTGTATGTCCCCCCCAATACCCACACCAATTTGAGATATACACTCATTTGTCTCGTAACATTTGTCGCATTGTGTATAATTGAATATACATAGGAATTGTTTTCATATGTCTCTAGCTACTACCACTAGCCTGTGCTTTCCTGTGGATCCAAAACAGGCCAAAGTTTACTCTTTTTGTATATGCTACAACTAGCCCAATAGTAACAGTAGATTATTTTATTTATTGAGTTCTTACTATGTCCCAAGTTCTAGACGCTTTATGTATTCTGGACAACCTTTTAGCTTTACAAAAGCCTTTGATATTGATACTTCTAGCCGTGGGGAAAGTGAGCAAATTTAGTTCCCCAAGGCTATACAGCTAGTTAAATGACAGGGCTGGGATTTGGAACCTGGGCAATTTGTCCTCATCCCTGGCTGGCTCTTGGCAGTGGTTCTCACCCTCGGGCAGTTTTGCACCAGCGGATATTTGATAACGTCTGGAGACAATTTTGGTTGTCACAACTTGGAGGAGTGGGAGGGGCTCCTGGCATCTAGTGGGTAGAGATCAAGAATGTAGCTAAACATCCCACAGTGCCCAGGGCGGCCCCCATAACAAAGAACTATCCCATGCAAAATGTTAATAGTGCTGAGGTGGAGGAACTTTCTGCACTATGGCTAATTACCTCAAGTAGGTATCAATGAAAACAGAGCTTTTCAGACTGTGGTAAAGGACCAATTTTTTTTTTTTTAATTTTTAATCAGTCACAACTGATACTTTTGTAAAATACAATTTAAAAAAAACTGAATACTAGCCAAACCCATGAATGAGCCCTAATGTAAACCATAGACTTTGGGTGATAGGATGTGTTAGTGTCGGTTCATGGACTGTGGCAAATGCACTGCTCTGGTATGGGATGTTGATAGTAGGGAAGGGGGGTATGCTCGAATTTTGTACTTTCTGCTGAATTTTTCTGTAAACGTAGAACTTCTCTAAAAAAGAAAGTCTTTTTTAATGAATTATTAGAAAAATTAAACAAAAAGAAAAAACAAAGCCAGTTATTTTTTGGCCAGATCTAACATACATAAAATTGTTGTCAAATTGCCATAAAAGTTTCTAAATGAATACTTTTAATGTCTATACTTTAAAAGACTGTAACAAACAGTTTGTAAATCAAATTTGGAGTAGCACTGAATTACGTGTTACTGAATAAAGAATATCAAGAAAAACGATGAACAAAACCAAGCTATAAATAAGTGCCAAGTGAAAGAGACCATAAGAGCCCACAGACTTTTAGAGAGCGTTGAGGTGGAAGTAGGTAGGAAGGCTTTCAGGTGCAGGTGGCTCATGATCTGAGAGGAGGTTGGGCACAGACAGGAGAGAGCAGCTCGGGTAGAGTATGTGCACTACTCAAAGTGTGTTCCGGAAATCCAGTCTATCTGGAGAAGGAGATGCAGTTGAGGAGTAGTGGGAGAGAAGTATGGAAAGCTTGGCAGGTCTAGATTGTTAAGGACTATAAATGTCATGGTAAAGAGTTTGGATGTTATAAGGTAGGTATTACGGAAGAATTTTTCTTTTTTAATTAAAAAAAATTACCTATCTTGTTACAAAATTTGGGATTGGAAACAACTTGGTAGGGTTGTTTCCACGCAGTGTCAGCTGCAGTGTATTGGCTCAGGTACATGCACAAGGCTGGCAATCGTTGTTAGCTATTGGTTGGGAGTTCAGCTGGGGCTTTTGCCTGGGTCTTTAGTTCCTCTCCATATTGGCCTTCCTCATAGAGTGCTAGCTGGGTTTCAAGAGCAAATATTCCAAGCAAGGGGAAGTTGCAGCTGCTAGTCTCTTCATATTTGGGACAGGAAACTGGTACAGAATCATTTCCACCATATTCTACTGCTCAAACCGCTGCACAGTCTGTAAAATTTAAGACAAGGGGACATATACTTCACCTCTCAATAACAAGAGTGAGGAGGAATTTGCACCATTTTTAGTCTCCTAAATGGAATGAGGACTAAATCTCAGCCTTCAATTGTTCTCTCACCTGGATGCTCTTCTTCAGTGAACAACTGTACTGTACATGGCAGTCCTTCCAGGAGAGGTCCACAAGCAAAACTCATATGGATTGGTTTTTAAGTAGGGGAAGTATATGGCATGGATGTCAAGTTGAGAGAATTTGACATTTCAGGAATGCAACAGAGGAGACTGGGTGTAGAATAAGGTGCCACATTGTTCAAAAGCAGGGTAAAGTGTATTTTAGCTTCCACTGCTTTTTGTAACTTATCTGACATGTAGTCTCCAAGTATGGTTTGTGATCTTTCAGTTAATTCTTTCTTTCCCACTATTTTTGTCTTACGGGAAAAAGAAAAGCTTGAACTTTTCCTTTTAAAATTTGAGAGAATAGATTTATCCAGAGTACCCACTTTATTGTCTGTCTCTAAATCTGCATGTATATTTAAATTGTAGTAATGTGATAAACTCTGAATTTTTAGAAAAGGAATGGTGACTGGTTTATCTATATATCTAACTATATATGTCTAGAAAAATATGTATATATAATGTACACACCACACGTACTTGTGTGTGTGTGTGTATGTGGGTTTTGTTCACGTGTACTGTACCAAACGTGTACGTAATTTCTTAGCTATCTGCTCTTTATGATCTAATGCAGGAATATATATTTTATCCCTCTGTTTCTTCTAACAGAAATGAGTTTGGTGATAAAGAACTATTAAATGGGGAAAAGGAATTATTCTAAATTTTGTCATTGACATTCTCATCCCTACTCCGGTGCCTGTTTTGTAATGTGTGAGAAGACAGAGTAATCAGTATAGTTCTGTGCTTCTGTTAAAATGCACATAACCCAGTAAAAGTTAAAGCTTAACTTTTTAACTTTTTAATTCTTAATTCCTTATGAGTGAATTTACCAGATGAATTTCTACAATGTAGATTCATGGTATAATCCTAAAAATTATCATCTCCCATCTTTGACGTTAAGTTGAATGATAAATCCATTAAGCCTAAAATAAGAAGGCCTGAATGTTATTCTTTGAGTTGACATTATCTGTGACCAGAGTAAAACAATTTAGCACTATATATTTCCATTTTCTTGGATTTAAATATAGAGATAACGTTATTGTATGGGGGAGTATAAAGTAAGAGGTGTAAAAGTGTTTTTATATAAGATTGTTTATTGCCATACAAATGGAAGAAATTTTTAGGAATGAAATTGAATTAGATATCTTTACTCTAATGAGAACCAATATTATTTGTTTTAAAATATATTTAAATGTTTTAAAAACACACAATACTATCCCAAAACTTTCTTTATGATTTTTTTTTTTACAGGCAAATTTGGAACATTTATAGGTAGTCTTTTTAACAAAATGTTTTTAATAAAACAAGTCTTTAGTGTTCTTTTCATCTTTACAGACATTTTGAAGCACTGTTATAGTTCTGTTTACATCAAGATGTCTAGCAAAGCAAATCCTTCTAAGAAAAGGTCTCAACATTTAAAAAGAAATCCAAAAAGAAAAATTGATAATGAAGAAGCGGAGTTATCAGAGGAAGAGGTAATGAAATATCAAGTTTATCATTCAGGACTCTGATTAGAAATATCTGTTCTATGTAAAGGAGTATGTGAAGACTAAAGGTCAGCTTTACTACAAATTATAGTAATTCATATACCACAGATATTGTTATATGGGAGCTGTTGCAACGTGGGTTTTAAAAGTTCTCACATAAAAATTGTTTACCTCAATTTCTAAAGATATTGATCAGAGAATTCTTTAGGGAAGAAGTGCGATGGGGCACTGCTAAGGTGTGTAAATAGGAAGACTGGGAATATAGTATACAGATTCTATGGCATTCATATGTTAAAAGACAAGAGAATCTGTCAATTGGTGAAGGAGATTTTTATTAATCTAGAGAAAAATTAGTTTGGGAGGAATTAGCTTCTTCCTACCATAAAAGAAAGAATCAACATTTTTTCTCTATTTACCCTGTATTAGACAATGCCTATATTTGTTTTTCAGGAAAAGTATATAACACTATTTCACAGGCAAGATGAGTATGATTTCTTTAAAACATTCTTTGACACCATATGAAATTCTATTATACTTTATCACCATTGTTCAGGAATTGCTTTTGTATATCCTCTGCTTGTGATAAATACACATCCTTTTTCTGTAGAAGTAGCAATATACTTTTTTTCTGTCTTGCCAGAAGGTATATGAATTCTCTCCAACATACATGACAGATTTATTGCAATAGCAGTATCTTTTCATCTAATGTTTAATTCTTTGTGCATGCACATGTGTTTTTCTCTCTAGGTTAGAAACACAGCGAAAAAAAATAAAAGTCATCCAAAACACCTGTCTTCTGAAGGTATTCCTTTTCTTATGTCTTGTTTAACCTATCTTTCCCAAGCTATCTATATTTATGAAAAAATTCTCAGCATCTTGTTTATGAGTTCTGCATAAGCAAAAGACAGTAATAAACAGTTACATTCTTATTTTTGCAAGAATAAGTAGTACTGGTTGGTCAGTTCTTTTGGTCAACTGAAATTTTACTTACCACCTGTAGCAAAATACTGTGTAGGGCTGTAAGTTGAAAGGAGCAAGAGAAATTCAAAGTGTACCACAGTCTGAATTATTACTGATTTATGATATACAGACACACCTACTGACTTCTCTTTGAGACAGATATGCTTCTGTTTTGCCACCACTATTTAGATTAGATTGGAACCACTAAGTTTGTCTGGAGTAAATTAGTTTGGAATAGTCATCTTTACTTAAACATCACTTCGGCATGGAAGAATTTTCTACCTCTCTTCACCCAAGACCAAGTTAGGTCCTCCGGTTTTATACTTCCATAGTGCACTGGACTTTTTCTTTTGTAATGCTTTGCATACCTGAAATGTAATTATTTAATCTCCCTTCTCTCCAAAACTAATCTTATGTGAGCCAATAGTGTACCTCCTTTGTTTATTTTTTATAAGTAGAATACTATCAACAACCTAGTAGACACTGATTATCTGTTTGTGGTTTGGTTAATCTCCTTTGTTTCAGTTGCCATCCAACATTTGGCAGAAATCATTTTCTAGTCTTCTCAATGAAGCCCTTTAATTCAGGTCATTTCTGAGAACCAGCCTTTTATGTTGAATCCTAATAGTTGTAGCTTGGTTCTTTATTTAAGATTGTCTTGAGTTTGTATCCGCAATATCACTTAATAGTATTTTAGTTAACATAACAATAGCATATTCATATTCAACACCTGGCCTGTTATGGCTATGCAATGAAAAGGAAATTAAATAGTTTTTACAGCTTCATAATATTGGTTCTGATAATTCCATTATTTAGATAAATTTATATTTGAATCACTTTTTAAGTAAAAACATCCAAACTTCTAGAAAAACCAGAGTCTGTTCTTTCACCGGTGACAGGACAAGCAAAGCATACTAATCTAAAACAGGTAAAGATCGCAACCCACAAGAGAAAAACCTGGCAACCTCTTTCGAAGAGTAGCAGAGAACATTTGCAAACTATGATGGAATCAGTAATAATGTGAGTATGAAATTTTTTTCCATTTCACTCTTTTTATTTCTGCTTATATGTTTCCTATAGACAGTATTCTTTTAAATGTTACTGTCTACTTTATGGTGATAGGGTGTTTTTCTCTTTTGCAATAAGATTTATTTAATGTCTTTTGATGGCCTTAGCATTCAGCAAAAATGTCTTTATTAATTTCAGAAACTTGGAATTTCATCAGTGGAATAAAATTGAAATCTTTGCTTGATCTGCTATCTACAACTTTCTGGTGAGGGATACTTTAGGAAGAAGTTAGCTCAAATTGACACTTTATGTGGAAGCTGACATGCTAAAAGGAATACAGAGACAGGATTCTGCCATCAAGGAGCTGAAATCTATCAGAAGAGTCAGGCCTATAAATTAATTACAACAATATAATGTGGTAAAAAGAACTTAGATTATTCTTCTGCTTTAAATGTATTTAACATAAAAGAAAAAGTGATTGCTTCTGCCTGGCTAGTAAAAAGGGGTACTTGAAAGATATCAGAGAGAAAAAATAAACAGATTATACTAGTTATGTTTCAAACTAATATTTATTCAATCCCTACTTTTTCTCTTCTAGAGCAATTTTGAGTAACAGTATTAGAGAAAATGAAAAAGTTCAGTATCATCTGAACTTCCTAAAGAAAAGGTAATACAGTTATGCAATTAAAAAATGATTGAAATATAATTGAAAGGTTAAATCATGATTTGTCAGGGATTTGGGGGGCTGACTTATTGCTTAGATTAGCCACTGTTAATAAAAGAACATTACAGGGCTTCCCTGGTGGCACAGTGGTTAAGAATCCGCCTGCCAATGCAGGGGACACGGGTTCGAGCCCTGGTCCAGGAAGATCCCACATGCTGCGGAGCACCTGAGCCCATGCACCACAACTACTGAACCTGTGCTCTAGAGCCTGCGTGCCACAACTACTGAAGCCCGCATGCCTAGAGCCAGTGCTCCGCAACAAAAGAAGCCCCTGCTCACCACAACTAGAGAAAGCCGGCATGCAGCAACGAAGACCCAACGCAGCCATGGGAGTATGAGGGAAGAAAAAAGAGGATGACAGTATTTCAAACAAAAAAACAAAAATGATACTAATGGTACTCAAAAATAAAGTTATGTTTTTATTCTATCCATAAGATTGCTGCAACTGTGTGAAACCCTGAAAGTCCCTCCCAAAAAGCAGCAAGATTTAACTCATGTGTCAAGTCTACTGAAAATGGAAAGGGCACAGCACAGAGCTAATGAAGAGGGTCTGGCATTATTGCAGGTATGAAGTTTGAACAGGGAGTTCATCTTTAGAGGGGAAGGGGGAAAAGACCAAAAAGTTTTTTGAATTGTCATGATATTCTTCTAATAACAAATACTAGATCTTGGACCAGGTTTTTCATTAACTTTTATTTTTAACAAAGCAAAAACTTTGCCTGAACTTTGGGCCTCTAAAGTTAAGACTATTTCTAATATATTTGTAATTAAGTAGCAGTCTTATTTTTTTCATCAGACTTTAAATATCAGATTATAGGAATTCATCACTAAATGCTGTAGCATTTCAAAACACATTATATTAGTTTTTCTGTCCTGTATATGCTACTTTATTGGCAAGAAGAACACAATCATCATCATTACTGTTTTTATAATCATTATAGATAACATGTAATGAGGGCCTTCTATGTTCTAGTCACCGTTCTAAGCACTTTACAGTTATAGCCCGTAATGACTTAAAGAGACCTGTGCTATATTTCGCATTTTACAAGTGTGAAAAAGAGACATATTGGCATTTCTAGCTAAACCTTAGAGTGCTCACAGTTATGATGCAAACCTATTAGTCTGATTTCAGGGCAAGTGATTCTTAATCATTATTCTGTAGAAGATAGTGGGAGATAATATTAGCTGTCATGATAAACTGCAGGCTTTTATTTTTTATTTTTTTTAATTTATTTTATTTATTTATTTATTTTTGGCTGTGTTGGGTCTTCGTTGCTGCACGCGGGCTTTCTCTAGTTGTGGCAAGTGGGGGCTACTCTTTGTTGCGGTGCGCGGGCCTCTCATTGCAGTGGCTTCTCTCATTGTGGAGCACGGGCTCCAGGCGCGCGGGCTTCAGTAGTTGCGGCACACGGGCTCAGTAGTTGTGGCTCACGGGCTCTAGAGCACAGGCTCAGTAGTTGTGGCACACAAGCATAGTTGATCTGCAACATGTGGGATCTTCCTGGACCAGGGATCGAACCCGTGTCCCCTGCATTAGCAGGCGGATTCTCAACCACTTGCACCACCGGGGAAGCTCTGCAGGCTTTTAATTAGTGGATACTTGAACAATTAAGAAAAGCAGCCTCGGGGGCTTATTAAATAATTATTAAAACTAAAACAGATCGGACCATATATCCGTTTGCCATTTTGAAGTAGTTTGTAGATATGGTCTTTGTTAGCAATTCAACTTTGTAAAGCAATAAGTTTGTTAACCTTTGTTAGTAAATACGAGGTGGTGGTAGTTTAAGCAAGGAATGCATCCCTAACGATTTCTAATTCACCATTCACAAATAGGTCATTCCAGATTTTCCATATGATTGAGAATAACAATGGAAGGATATATTTGTGAGCAACATCTCTACATATATTCTAAATTTATAGAGTGGTATTTTTTAGTGGTTGCCTCACTTTCTTCATTGTATGAGATTGTATTTAACTTTCATCCCAATGTTACTACTTTGCAAGAGTATATTTTCAGCACTAGCTCCCCCACTTAATGAACAGTTGGATAACATTAATATAGGTTATTTTTTAAATTTCAGCTTTGTCTGAGATATAATTGACAAAATTGTAAGATATTTAAAGTGTACATCATGGTTATTTAATATAACTATACATTGTGAAAGGATTCCCCCCATCTAGTTAATTTCCCTTGTCATCTCACTTTTTTTTTTTTGGTAAGACCATTTAAGTTCTACTCTCTTTCAATTATATAATACAGATTTCAATTATGTAATATCAGTTATAGTCACCATGTTTTACATTAGATCTGCAAACCTTATTCATTTTAGCTGCAAGTTTGTATCCTTTACCAATTTCTCCCTATTTCCCCCACACCCCCAGCACCTGGCAACCACTTCTGCACTCTCTGATTCTATGAGTTTGACTTTTTTTAAAGGTTGCTTTAAAAGGTTTTAAAGTATAATAATGGTAAATGTTATTTTAACATTTAATATTTGCATAAAGTACTAAATCAGAGATGGTAAATAGTCTTTAATCAGAGACAGTAAATGATAGTGTGATTTTTGTAACGCTGGGAGGCATTTTTGTTTTACACCTAAAACTGGATCTCCGTGTGCCAAAAGCATAAATAGACTTAAATGGAAAAAACTGTTTTTCTATATTCGCAACACTTCTGACACCAAATTTGTGGGGTTTTCATACCAAGCAGTTCTCCACTTCTCTGTGGAAACCAACTGGGTGTCCTACAATTCACTTCTAACACTAACTACCTGGAGTTAGCACAGACCCCACAGGTTAAGGGCTCAGTCCCACAGAACTGCCCCCACTTCAGATGCCAGTGCAAGGCCAAGCCTCCTGCACTTCTGACCAACCAAGTATAAATCGGGGCTTCCCATGACCTCCTCCTCCGGTTTGATAATTTGCTAGATCAGCTCACAGAACTCAGGAAAGCACTTTATTTACTATTACGGGTTTATTATCAAGGATACAACTCAGTAACAGCCAGAGGGAGGAGATGCATAGGGCAAGGTATATGGGAAGGGGCACGGAACTCCCATGCCTATTCAAGCACCTCCATGTGTTCACCAACCTAGAAGCTGTCTGAATCCAGTAATTTAGAGTTTTTATGGAAGCCTCAGCATGTAGGCATATCTATTATTAACTAAATCTCCAGGCCCTCTCCCCTTCTCAGAGATCAAGGATCCAGGCTGAAAGTTCCAACCTTCTGATCACAGGATTTTGGTTGCTGTGGCAACCAGCCTCCATCCTCTATGAGTTATTCACTAGCACAAATTCAGGTATGACGGTTATTATGAATCACAAAAAGTGCTCCTCCCACTTCAGTCATTCAGAAAACGCCAAGGATTTGGAAGCTCTGTGCCAGGAATCAGGGATGAAAATCAAATGTATATTTCTTATAACATCACAACAGTCTAATGTTTGCTTGACAGTCAGTTACTCAGTTGAAGCACTGTTGGCATTTTGGGCATAAGAGTTCTTCATTGGCATAAGAGTCTTTGAACTAGGAGTCTGTAGATTTTATCTATTAGTTTTCTCCAATGTGCCTTACTTAGAATGGCTTTTTCGCATTGCAGCCTAGAGTTACTGCTGGTGATGACTTTCCAAAACCTGTATCAGTTACCAGTAAGAGAGGTTGTGTTCATGCAACAAGAACACATTCATTGAACTCTCACTGCTGGTGCTAGGGAAAGGCAGTGGTGAACAAAGTCTTTTAGAGATACCGAGAAGATGGTATAGGACCTGCTGGGGCATAGTTTTTTTGTTTGTTTTTTAATTCATTTAATTAATTAATTTTTTACTTTTGGCTGCGTTGGGTCTTCGTTGCTGTGCGCCGGCTCTCTCTAGTTGCAGTGAGCGGGGGCTACTCTTCGTTGCGGTGCGCAGGCTTCTCATTGTGGTGGCTTGTTGCAGAGCATGGACTCTAGGTGTGCGGACTTCAGTAGTTGTGGCATGCGGTCTCAGTAGTTGTGGCTCACAGGCTCTAGAGCACAGGCTCAGTAGTTATGGCACACGGGCTTAGTTGCTCCGCGGCATGTGGGATCTTCCTGGACTAGGGCTGGAACCCGTGTCCCCTGCATTGGCAGGCAGATTCTTAACCACTGCACCACCAGGGAAGCCCTGGGGCATAGTTTTTAATCTCTCTGGATCTCACAACCAGAGTTAACATAAGACAATATTAGCAGAAGGACAAAAAGTAACATTTCTACAGACAACAAAACCATGCCAAAAATATGTGTTCACAAAACAGATGAATGCTAACCTAATTTCCCAAGTGAGCTGAAAGAAATTTAGAAAAAGAAGGTATGAAAAAAGTCATAAATATTAGAAATACTAAAAAATGATGTTATGGAATTCAGGAAAGAATTAGAGCTAAAGGAAGAAAAACTTTTAGTAATGCAGACTAAGTTAGAAGGAGCAATAAGCAAATGAACAGAACAAATAATACTTAAATAAAAGTTAAAGTAAGGAGAAAATTTTAAGACTCAAAAAGAATGACATTTTTTTAAGGTATTGAGAAAAAGTGACAAATATAAAAGTTTGGCAAAAAAGACACAGCATGGGTATGGTATAAATACCCAAAGAAGATAACCAAAGCAATGGAACAAAATTAATTTTTTTAATTATACTGAAAAATTTTAGTTCTTATTACATTAACCCTTTCCTTCATTCAGTGCTATTATTCATTCCCTTCTGTAGTGTGTTGAATGGCGGCCCACCAAAAGATATGTCTAAGTCCTAATGCCTGGAACCCATGAATGTTACCTTATTTGGTTTAATAAGTGTAGCTCACAGACCCAAAGTCTTGGGTACTCAGGGATTAGCACACTATTCCTATAAGGGCCAGGTGATAAACATTTTACTCTTTGTGAGCCATGTATGGTCTTTGTTGCATAGTCTCGTTTTGTTTTTTAACCATCCTTTAGAAATGTAAAAACCATTCATAGCTCTTGGACTGATCAAAAACAGCCTATGGGCAGTTGCAGACCTCTGCAGGTACCCTTTTTAATGGTTACTAGAAGCCATAATATATTTGTTGAGGAAAATTACTGTAGTTGACAGTAAAAATTCGGCTTCCAGTATTTGGAGAATGATGTAGATGTAAGTATCAGCCATATCGCCTCGCAGGATTTAAGAGTTATTATTTCTGTATGACTTCTGTGTGGCTTCTTTACTTGTTCCCTGATCCCCAGGGGCAGTGCTATCCTTGGCTGTTGCTAGGACTAGATTTGAAAGCAGTGCAGTACTTAATACCATTTAGAAACCTGGAAGCTGGCTAACTCTATATGTGGCCTGCAATCAGTACACCCCTGATATCATTATACTCATTTCATTCATTTCTTATTTTCTCTTTGTTTTCCCCCGTAAGTTATATATTCTTTTTAGGTGGGAAACTGCCACTCATTTTCTATTACTATCTCTGCCCTAATGTTCAGCATTTCTTTCTTTTGGCAAATGAAAATAGCACTCAGATGTTCCTAAATTAAAGTTAGAGTTTCTCTGCTGTTACATACCGCTTAAGGAATGCTCCTGTACCTGTTGCCATCAGTCCTTGGGCTCTGCTAGATGCACACAGGTCTTCCAGGATATCTGATGCCCGCAGTTATGGTAAGTTTTTGAGGAAAGCTTCACATACATCTTTGTTCCATTGGTAAATCAATTTCTAGGGAGTCTGTTTACTGAAAGAAAAATGAAAATTATCAGTTTCTTCCAGAAGTGTTTCAATATATAAGGTGTTTTTAAAATATGTATGTATATATTAATAGCTGTTGGGGTTTCATTTAATAGTATATTTAATTTAAAACATAAGCTTTCTTTCTCTGATGCAGGAAGAAATAGATAAAATAGTGGAGACCGTAGAGTCAATGACTGGGGATATTCACAGCCTAAAGAACAAAGTTCATGTTCTGAGAAATGAGGTAGAAGAAGAGGAAAGGAAGGTAAAACAGGTAATTGTTTAAAAAAAAGTATCGCTAGAATCTGGATATAATTTTTCATGATTAGATTCTACCCAGACAGCTTTTGAGTGTAATAAGAGAAGTCAGCCTTTTGAAATAATCTAGCTTTATGAAATAATCTGTAGCTTTCTTTTTCTACTTTAGATGTTTCAAATAGATAGTGAGGTACTCTCTCTTCCCGAACTTTCTCAGAAGAGTCTCAAAGCACCCATACTTCAGGTAAGTACCAATTTACCATATTAACTGCATCACCAGTTACGAATTGTATATGTGTATAATCATTATAATCATATAAGTGTATAAGTGTAATCATTCTTGTCAATAGCGGTATAGCATTCCATTATATGGATGTGCCATAATGTAATAATTTGTGAAAATGATGGAAATAAATAATTTTTGCTAGTACAGGTAATGCTAGGAGCATCCTTGCGCATATATCTTTACACATTTGTGCAGTCATGGCTGTAGGACGGGTTTCTGAAAGCAAATCCTGACAGCTGCTTTTGTTTGTGCTTCTGATAATGGCGTGTGCAGCTTTTCCTAAGACAGTGCTCTGTCCACATTTGTGCAGTCATGGCTGTAGGACACGTTTCTGGAAGCAGATCCTGACAGCTGCTTTTGTTTGTGCTTCTGATAATGGTGTGTGCAGCTTTTCCTAAGATAGTGCTGTGTCCACATTTGTGCAGTCATGGCTGTAGGACGGGTTTCTGGAAGCAGATCCTGACAACTGCTTTTGTTTGTGCTTCTGATAATGGCGTGTGCAGCTTTTCCTAAGACAGTACTGTGTGCCATTTGGGCGTACACAGCACACTGCTAACTTACCTTTGCAAAGGACCCCCATAGGTATTATAGTCTAAGTGTTTACAGTGGTAGAAAGCCTTTACGTTTCCCCAGAAAGTAACAAAATTTTCCTGTCTCAAATCTACCTAGGGTGAGAGGAATGGGAATGGGCAGAGGGAAAACAGAATACCATAGATTTAAAAGCAGAATGGCAGTGAGTTGATGATAATTGAAGCTGAGTGAAGATTATATGAGGTTTATTATACCATTCTCTCTAAATAACATACATATAACATTTTTCATAATGAAAGGTTAAAAACTAATTATATGGGTAAAGGTGGTCAAAAGGTACACACTTCCAGTTATTTATAAGTAAGTCATGGGGATGTAATGAACAGAATGGTGACCAGAGTTAATACTGTATTGTATATTTGGAAGTTGCTAAGAGAGTAGATCTGAAAGTTCTCATCACAAGGAAGAAAAAGTTTGTAACTGTGTTTGGTGATGGATGTTAACTAGGCTTACTGTGGTGACCATTTTGCAGTGTATACAAATGTCAAATCATTATGCCGTCTGCCTGAAGCTAATGTTAATATCGATTATGTATCAAAAAAAATTTTTTAAATGAATTATTGTCATGTCACAGAAAGAAATTTTGATGCTAATTCCAAACCAGAATGCTCTTCTGAAGGACTTAGATGTTCTCCATAATTCACCCCAGATGAAAAACATGTTAACTTTCATTGAAGAAGTCTATAAAAGACTGGATGCGTCTTAAAGAGTTTATTGTTTTGTTTTGTTTGTAGATTGTTCCATATGAATTTAATGTTTATGAATTTGTAAAAATGTTATTCTACGTGATATTGCCGGGGCTGAGGCTTCTTTAGGATTCTCCTAATATGCACTTTAAAATTAACCTCTATAAATCTACCATTAACCTCTATACATCTAATGTAGGCCTTGAAAACTGTTTTTATCAATTCCCACATCTAGGAACTCACATTTATGTTGCTGTATTTCCAGTTATTTGCCTTAAACCCTAAAATGAGAACAGCCACAATCTGATGGTTTATAATGGCTGAATAGAGTTCATTTATTGGTTAGTGCAGAGGAAATAAGATACTGTGACTTAACATATGTAAAGTGTTTATAATGCCTAGCACATAAAAATGTAAGTGTTTGGTATCAATATTGTTTTTTAGCTGATGACTTGCATTTTCTGTCTGGTCATTTGGAACTCTAGAATTCCCCAAATGCCTTCGCTCTTTTACATAACTCCCTAGACTTTTTGTGGCATAATTAATATCTGCCATGTGTCTTTAACTTTAGAGGTAGCATGAACATTTTATTTCTTTGGTTAGGTTAGTGAATACATGTTGAATATTTATTTTCTACTCTCATCACAGCATACCTTTATTTCATAAAATTGTTAAAAATGAACCCAAGTTCATTTATTCCCTTAAAATAAACACCAAACCAAAAAAAAAATCCCTTCTTTCTAAATCTTTTCTCATTGCAATAATAAGCATATACACGTGAAGAAATTATCACTTAAATATATTAAAAATCATTTTTAACCAACCACAGTATATTGTCTGGGTGGCTTTTATCTGTTTATAAAATAAAATAACTGTAATTTAATTACTTTTCTGTCTAACCTAGAATGTTTTGTCAGTTAATTTAGAGGGTGCTATAATTTTGTTAATGCCCTCCAGGCTGAGACCACCGGGAAGACAGCTTCAGTTAAGTAAGTTGGATTTAGTGCTCACTGCAGTGAGGGAGACCACATGTCATGGGGAACCCTGGGCAGCTCAGCAAAAGCGTCAAAAAAAAGATCTTAGGAAATAATGGTCAAAAAGGACCTTAATGGATCTTAAGGGAAATAAAGTCTTCAAGAAAGGAAACCTATAGTGCAGCATTTAAAGAGAACATTACAGTATATACTTTGCTGGACTGTCTGCTACATGCCAGGCAAAGCAACTAAAGGAAAAAGATTTCACAACATGTCTTAAAACTTAAAAACCCTTGTGTTTTTAGAGTGGCAAGTAAAGCCCCAAATCACTTTTATCATTAACCATGACATTTATAATCGCTTTTGGTGGGGATGAAGGAGTTACATTAAGTCTGCTGTTTCCATCAGAACATCTGTTTAACAGATGATTGAAAGTCAACAGGAATTTCGACTTACCACTGTTGCTGAGGGGTAGTTCTCTACCACGCATAAACTGGTCATACTACCCTCTTGTAGCTTTGAAAAGTACATGATCTAATTTTGAGAGACGTACACTATCTTCTGGCAGGTAGCAGGCAACATACACAGTATTTTCTTCAAAGGTTGAATTGTGGTGTACTCTTTGTGAAGAATTTAAGAGTTAATTACAGACCCAAATAAAATTGAAATTCAACTGCACAGGGTCCCAGTAATTCAGATGGTCATCTTATGTAGTATCCTCATCTGTCTAAATTCTCACATACATAGGCCATGCCAACTATCATACACCTTCTCTCCAGTGACTGATAAGTGCCCATGCCAGAAACTTTCAATTCTAAAAGATAAATATTTTGGAATGGAGCCTATATGGTGTAAAAATGTAGCCTGTGATAAAGATAGAATATCAAATAAAATGTAGAGAAAATAAATTATTCAATAAATGGTCTTGAGAAAGCTAGCAGACCAACCGCACTGGGGATGGCAGTGGAGGGTGGTGGTAAATATTCCTACTTTATGACAGAATAGATTCAAAATAAATAAAATTAAATAGAAAAATAGAAACTGAACAGAATTTATGAATAAATAACTGATGTCAGTGTAGATAAAGCCCGACAGACATGCTTGTTTTGTAGTGTACTTCACTTTATTACATTTCGCAGATGCTGTGTTTTTTACATTTTGAAGGTTTGTGGCCGCCCTGTTTTGAGCAAGTCTATTGATGCCATTTTTCCAACACCATTATTTTTTAATTAAGGTATATACATTTTTTAAGACATAATATTGTTGTACACTTAGTAGACTACAGTACAATGTACACGAAACTTTCATATTCACTGTGAAGCCAAAAAATTGTTGCACGATTTGCTTTATTGTGGTGGTCTGGAACTGAACCTGCAGTATCTCTGAGGTATGCATGTATTATTCATATAAACCGAGACAAAACCATAAAGAAAGAAAAATTAATAGATCATTACATAAAACTGAACTTTTTAAAATAAAAATTAAAAAACCAAGCCAAAGACACAGCACAGACTGAAAAATATCTATAGCATATATAAAACAAAAATAATACCTTTATTCATAAAGAGCTCTAAAATACCAGTAAAAAATAGATTAAATACCAATAGGAAAATGGCAGTTCTCAGAAGAAAATACATAAATGGCCAGTAAGTACTTGAAAGATTTTCAACCTTAAAATAATCATGTAAATGCAAATTAAAACAGCAAAACTTTTTCACCTGTCAGATTGGAAAAGATTGAAAAAGGCTGAAAGGGAAAGTTGCTGAACTTATAGGAAAATGGGTCCCCAATAATGCTGCTGAAGGAAGGAGGGAAAATGGTGTAATTTGCGGGGGGAAGGTAGCCTGTACAGATGTTACAGAAACACAGTTTACTGTCAGTCATTTAAAATTATTATTTTATATGGGTTCTACCATTCTCCAACTTTCAGTTGGGCATATGTTTAACAAACAGGTTTTGCTTAAATATGAGACACCTGCCCAGCAACCTAAAATTAAGGGATTTACTTTCTTTCATTGGACAGAATTTCTTGGCATTCTCTATTTACCAGAAATAAATGCAGGTGCACCTGTCAACATTAATATTTGGATCATTTAGGTTGGCTTAGTTTCCAAACAGAAGTATCCTAAATCCTCTCAGGTTTCATTCATTGTCAAGAAATATTCAGCTTTAAGGAAGAGAGAGGAAAGAAGGAAAGCAAAAGCAGAGAGAAATTCAAATTTCCCATTTGTGCTTTATTCTGTCCTAAGTGACTGATACATTTTTCTGTTCTAACTAGTTTTCTCGTTAAGAGTTGCTACCTTTGAATGTATTTCTCACCACTTAACCACCACACAACCACTTTCTCTTGCCTTAGGTGTTTGTCTTATTAAAGTGACAGCTGTTTGTAGCAGTCATAGCCAAAGACTGGTTATACTTGTTAAAATTGGACAAAGAGGAAGATGAAGGAGGGACGTTTTCCAAATACAATAAAACTTCCATACAGTACTTTTTTTACATAGACTTTTTTCCTCTTTTAACTAACAGAAACAAATGTGCCTTAACCAGTTTTACCCATTTCCACCTCCAAGGAGGTCCTTAAAATGAAGGTAAGTTTTCAAATGGAACGACAGTGCTGTATAACAAAAATAACAGTGGTTAAAATGGCTGATATTTATTGATATGTGCTATATGCCAGGCACTGTTCTAAGCCCATTACATGTATACATGCATTTATACCAATGTTTAATCCTAATAACAACCCTATGGGGATTAAACTTCATAGCAATCACTGTTATTCCCATCCTGCATAATCAGAGACAAAGGAAGCTAAGTGACTTTGTTTTAAGATCACTCAAATAGTAAGTGGTGATAGAGCTAGGAAGTAAAAAAGATCAGGCTATTTGTCCTTTAGAGTTTTAAGAGTTTCCCATAGTCTGTTTACTGTCCTATCCCTGAGATGTTGTTTTAAATTTTCCTTGATCCCCAGTCAGGCTTTTTAAAATCAGATTTATTTCTGCATAGGAAGTTAGACAGTTTGTCTGTTTTTTTTTTAATTATTTTATTTTTATTTATTTTTGGCTGCGTTGGGTCTTCATTGCTGCATGCGGGCTTTCTCTAGTTGCGGTGAGCGGGTCTACTCTTTATTGTGGTGCGCGGGCTTCTCATTGTGGTGGCTTCTCTTGTTGTGGAGCACAGGCTCTAGGCACAGGGGCTTCAGTAGTTGTAGCACGTGGGCTCAGAAGTTGTGGCTCGCGGGCTGTAGAGCGCAGGCTCAGTAGCTGTGGTGCACGGGCTTAGTTACTCCGTGGCATATGGGATCTTCCCGGACCAGGGCTTGAACTCGCATTGGGAGGCGGATTCTTATTCACTGCGCCACCAGGGAAGTCCCACAGTTTGTCTTTAACACCTACATCATTACCCAAATTTGGACACCTTATTTTGGATATCTGCCCTTCACATACAAGGTCATAGTCTCCACTGTCACTCCTGAAACACATGTGTTAGTGTTTTTATTTGCAGTGACATTTCTGCCTGAGGCTTCTTTGACTTTGTTTTGAAGTTTATTTTCAAGAATTAAATGAAAAAGCCTATTGAGCCCGTTATTGCTTGTATTTATTTATTCTTTCCCCCTGCTTAGTTGTTAGATGAGTGACCCAGTGCCAGAGCCCACAGAATGCCTGGAATGTGCGCTAACACTGCAGAACCGCTGAAAACACAAACGTGTTCCTTATAAAGAAGGACATAGTGAGAATGACATTACCAGTCTCTTAAGTGGGGATAGTCTTAGGACACTGATAATTTCAAGAATGGAAGCAAATTCGGAAGCACAACCAGCCCCAGAGAGTTGCAACTAAGTAATCCATCTCAGTTCTCAGAAATTGCACCAATTTCTATCTTTTCTTTTTTATCTTAATGTCATGGGTTTTTAAACCTTTTTCCAGACCTTTTAAGGAAAGGTCTGGAAGAGCTAGCATTTCTTGAGCATCTACATATGCCTAGAATATTAAGAAATTTGTATTTTTTTCTGGTCATGGATGCATAAAGATAGAAAGTCTATCCTAAAA